CAAGTTAACACATTTGACATCCGGAGCTGTCAGACACCTTTTCACCACGTTAATGAAATTCATCGTTAACTTTGCTTCAAAAAAAGTGAACACCCCCCCCTTTTTTTCCCCCCTTTTCCTGAGCTTTTTCACAGGATCAAAGGTCACCGCTCTCATCAGCACAGGGCCTGTCTCTAATTCCTTTAGGATTATGTTCCCCATACATAGAGGAAACCCCAAATCCTTGCAGTAAATATGATCATGTGTGCAGATAGGTGCCGGGGTGCCGCTGTGACAGAGTGGAGGGGAGGGGGCAAGGAAATTACGAACACATTTCTCCTAAATGTGTTCCATGCCGTCATGCGTTAGCATAACTCTGCTGAAAAGCAGCGTTTAAATCTTGAGATGCACGGTACACAGCCAGCACAAACCAGGCTGTCAAAAATATTGACGGGTCAGGGTGTCAGCGCGGCGAGAAAACGCCCATTTTCCATTAGCAAACGCACAAAAATCCAGACTCTGACACCAGCTTGGCCCTAGAGTTTGGCTGCAAGCTTCAGGATTGTTTTCAGTCTTAAAAGGTTGTCACAGAGAGATATATACAAAAACAAAGTGTTTAGAGGTAAAATGATGTTAAAGATCTTGGTGATATAATCAAGCTTAGGGTCCAAAATACAAAAACGCTCAGTTTAGTTTCACACGAGAGAAAGAAAATCAGCAAATTTCCAATCAAGGGGTGAAAGTCTGTGGTGCTCTGCATTTATTTTGCTTAAAATGTTGATTTAATAAGCAGTAAATTGTCAAACTGCTTATTATTCTGTCTATCAACTGAGCATGTAACTCCAAAGCTTCTATTTGTTCTGTTGTCGGCGAATGAATGATATCGCCTTAAATAGAATGTGATCAAGCATAAAACAGCTCCACTCACAGCAGCTCCAAGTCATCTTCATTAATGACTCTGAGATTATTTGATAAAGAGTGATGATTAAAGACAGTAAGGTATTAATTTAATGCGGAAAATGATTCAGGATATCGAAAAAGGAAACAACTAGAGAAACAAGCATCTTTACATCTTCGTCTGCCTTAATTTGACTCTCGCCTTCTCTAGGTCCTCTGTCTGTACATCTCTGAGGGCCTCGGGTGCCTCTGAAGTCGAGCCAGAACTCCATCAAACCAAAACCAGAGTTGATGTCATCTTCATTGGTTAAAGCTGTCCTCTTTCCTCTCAATAAAACAGCTGGCTCTGTGCCCCAACGGCAGTTTTCTGATACACGGGGCTTCATGTTCAGTGTCGCCCAAGTGACTTACAGACTCAAAGATGAGTGCTCGGACTCCTATCATCAGCCAAAATGGTCTGCAGTTAAACGAGCATGGTGATATTTTGGAAAATGTGCTTTTTTTGCTTCCTTGCCAACAGTAACATGAGACCACTGATACCATATCTTACATCTGTGACACGAAGATGGTTAACCTAGGGTAACATAAAGCCTGGAAGCAGTGTAAATAGCTAACCTATCTAGTGAATCTGCATACCTGATCCTCTAATTCTTGTTACATCTTGCTTATATGAGCCCCAAAACAACATCAACAAAATGCAAAAACAAAACGCGTCATAACTTATGCAACATAACTACTTCTCACGTCAGGAGTTCTCGAACATGACGCGCGACTTGCTGTCAGACATTCAGCAACTCAAAACTGTTGTGTAAATTACATTACAAGAACAGCAACTGGAAAGCAGAGATGGCATTCCTACACTTACTCCAGCATCTTATTTATGTCTTATTTGCTGGCTGGAGAACAAGTTGTGACATTTGACACACTGATTGGAGAGACAGTAAATTTCGTCTGTGTCTCAAACACTCGAGCGCAACCAAAGAGGTCAACAGCAGTATGCAAGTGTCTCAAGTTACCCTCATTTCTTTATAGTTTTCTTACAAAGAGCTAGACTTTCTTGTCATCTTTTAAAGCGGTCTTGAGCATTAGTTCTCCAGACTGTAGACATTGATTACTTTTTCCTCATTTTCAGTCCTTGTACTTCACCAAGAACCAATTTTAAATCTTTAGGCTCTTTGTTACTGGCAGCAAAAACATCATTTGTTCCCATTTCTTTAGTTGAATCCACGAAAAATGCCAAAGATAACACAGTTTGACAGAAACAAAATAGTATTTTTTCACCAATACGGTGATTTTAAAAGAACTATTGATTGAAAACTTGGCATGTCTCAGCATGGTGTGCAGCGTGTCCTTAAAGAAACAGTGGGAAGGAGGAGGATAAAAAGAAGGATGAAAGAAGAAGCGTCAGGTCTGAAAAACTAAAAATATGTACAGCAGATGAACACTATCTGAAAGTTATGTTCTTGAGAAATAGGAAAACAAAATCCGGTGAAGATCTGACACAAGACTTGAGAGATGACCCATCTGCTGTTCAGTGAAGCCTCATCAGGAATGACTGCAGTAGAATAGTGGCTGTCAAGAAGCCATTCATATTAAAGGAAACAGAGGGAAGAGGCTGAGGGATGAAACACTACGCAAGAAATGGACTGAAAATCAGTAGCAACAGGTAACTTTCGCTTGAAGTTGTTAGGATGTACGGAGGTGGGCAGGAGCGACATACAGCGGTGAATGTCTACAGACATCTGTAAAGTATGGTGGACGCTCTGTCATCAGCCAGTGATGTCAGTTAATCAGAATGGATCCAGATCAGATTTTGGTCCACCATGAAACACCATCTGGAAAGCTTCTAATTGGCTATGGTTTCATTTTTCTGCTGCGTGACAATGATCCCAAACACATTGCCGGTGGAGTAAAATCATCCCTGGATAGAAAAACAAGCAAACAAGCACCATCAGTCACAGATTGGTCTCCTCAGTACCCACACCTCAGCATTATTGAAGGAGTGCAGAACAGAACAACAGGCAGTCACCATCTAACAGAGAGCTCTGAACGTCCTCTAAGAAGCCTGGAGAACTATTCCCGAAGACTGCTTGCAGAAATGATAAGAAAGCTTATCTAAACGAGTTCAGTCTGTGTTGAAAAACAAAGGTGGTCGTACCAAATTCATGACGCCAAGAGCCATAAAAAAGCTAGATTGATTAATTAGCTTTCCAAAACTATTTGTTTGTTACAGATAATAGCAGCTATTTCATGTACGTCCCAGAAATGCTGCAAGAAAAAGCATAAATGTGATTTTCCTGTCACTGCTAACAGCCGTGCTTCCTGACCTTTCCACTGCTCCTCGCAGCTATGCTTTCTGAGGTAAGGCGGGTGTAAAACTATATGAGGAGAAGTCTTTGTTTCAGAGGTGTAGCCTGATCCTAACATGGTCACGTATGTTACAAGGACCTTAAGGAGGAGTGTCATGCTCCTTAATCTCAGTGGGGCCACTTTCTCGCAGAGTGGCCTCTCTGGTCCGCTGCTGTCTGGGCAGCTGGATTATGGGAAAGATACTCTTCTCTTCTCTTCTCTTCTCTTCTCTTCTCTTCTCTTCTCTTCTCTTCTCTTCTCTTCTCTTCTCTTCTCTTCTCTTCTCTTCTCTTCTCTCCTTCTCTTCTCTTTCAGCACCCTGACTCCCACACACCGACCCCCGCCAGCTCTCCCTCCACTCCTCAGTGTGAAACAGACTGTCAGTGACATCAGCCCCTGCCTTTCAGGTCTCCTCGCCGAGTCCAACCTGGCCCTCTGTCTCACCATATGGAGGTGATTTTCTCGCTGCTCCGTAGCCATTAGAAAGTGCAAATACATTTCAGCAAACGTTAAATAAACAGTCCGATTACTTCTTCACACTCCTGCAACCATTTTGGTCTCAAGTGAACCAGAATCTCTGGCATCGCAGACTCGGTGGATACAGCTAATCTTAAAGCCTTTTTCCAGAGGATTTCTAATCATTTCTGTGTTTATTCCACTTGTACGAAAATGTGTTTTTGTGGAAATCTTGCCCATCCAAGGGCAACAATGAATAATCCTGCAAAATGGAACAAGGTGGGGGTAATTATGACCAATAAGCGACATGCTCTTTGAGGTAATTGTTAATCTTGGACTAATTTTGACAGGCTGTGCCAGCTCCCCATAATATTTACCAAGCTGGTGGATGTACTTAATAATTTCATTCAAAATCTGTTCAAATGAGTGTGCATTTTAAAACAGTTGTGTCTCAGCCAGTGCAGCTTCAGACTTTCTTTGAAACACTTCATGTCAAATGCACCAGACCTCCTTTCATTCACTGTTTCTTTAGGCTGACTACAGTGACTTGCCTCTGGTTGAAGATTTTGGTCTTTACTGGGCCTGGAGTCTGCGGTCTGTGGCATTCTGGAGCAGCGCTGCCCATAATCGAGACACCCACTTTACAAGCTGCCCTGCTGGACCTTCCTCTGACCTTTTTTCATTCATTCTTCTGACTTTATTAGCTCTGAGGATATTCAGGGAGACAGCTGCCTCTGCTGCTGACTACAGTTAAAAGAGTAACATCAGTGTGTGTGTGTGTGTGTGTGTGTGTGTGTGTGTGTGTGTGTGTGTGTGTGTGTGTGTGTGTGTGTGTGTATGGTAGTGAGACAGAAAAGACACACAAGGAGAGAGAATGTGATTCTAATCCTCCTTCCAGGCACTGAAGCGTCTTGAATGCATGGCTGTAAAAATGTTTTTAAAAAAGGAAAAAAGTACAAAACCAGAGTGTACAGGATCTCTTTCAACCGTTGATTTCCTGCTGTCCCAGTTCCCCAAAGCAACCCAACACAGGCTTTCAGTCTTAATTCAAAGCAACTCTACAATTGTATCAAGACTGCCGCACAATATGGCACACGGGATTAGCGACCTACCCGACTACACCAGCAAACATATAAAAGAGAAACTGATGTGGGTAAAGCTGCATGGTTCTGCTAAAAAGATGCAGATGGGTCCAGGCATAACACATGGCCTTTGTTTCAGTCCCTGGGAAAATTAGTCTCAGATAAAATCCTACAGCTCCTCGAGTCCAAGTCTAAGCAAGGCTGCATCATGCAAAAGAAAGAAAGGAAGAAACTCACCTTCACGACACTCTTCTCCCACAAATCCTGGACAGCATCTCCACTCCAGTGCAGTGACTTGCTTGTAGGTAGTCCTGAATGACGGTCTGATCACAGTCCTGTAGCTGGAACAGACACTCTCTGACTTTATGGACACGTGATGCACAAACACACATACAACATGAAGTATTTTGCTTTCTGGTATAACCCCAACCCCAATGGAGGTGGTGGTGGTGGTGGTGGGGGGGAATTATAAAGAACCAAAGAGCCTTGCAAGCTTTGAATTAGGAATACAATTACGCATAATTCCCTTTGCAACCTCGTACCTCTCAGAGAGGTTCAGTGCCTTTTTCAGTGGAAACTCTTCATTTCACTGTGCGGGTGGTGCTTCAGTCATACATACATAATATGTGTGCAGAACTTTAACTTTCAGACAATTATTTCTGCTGTTTTGCATTAACAGTATCACTTTATTTGAAGATCCTCTTCTGGCAGACATTCTCAGCCAGATTAGGGATGAAAGTGTTTCACCAAAGATGCTCCATGCCTAAATTTGCCTGAAGCCACTTATTCACTAAATCTGCCCTAGCCACCAGGCAGCACCTCCCACGTTCATGATTTATTGTAAAAAGCAAAGTTGCATCTGCATCACAGACCAGTGAAGAATCTGACTTGACTGGAGTCAAAAGTATACCTGATGACTTTGGAGCAGGGTCCGGGCCACCGGCAGTTCTGAAACACTCTCTGCACTGTGGTTTCAGTCCCATTGTGCACCTGACAAGACACTGTTTTGAAAACAGTGTACTGACACCAGTTCCTAAAAGACGGAATAAAAGAGATGTTATCGTGATTAATACCGAGAGAGAGAAATAGAGCGAGAGAGAGCAATGATCTAGCACTAGATCCGTTTTGTTTTCACAATAAATTTCGTTAAATCGTTACAACCCCTCCAGTGTGTGCGCACCTGAGTTGGGTTCGGGATCCAGTACCCGGCGGTCCCGTGACGCCACTCTGTTCCGATTTGATGCGCTGCCGCTGCAAAGTGATGCCCGGGAAGTGATAAACAAAGCCCGTTCCCAGCGATGGACAGACTAAACTTATCCACATGCAGAACACGCAGAGAAAAGAAAGAGGCATCATTGTTTGATTTATCCCGGAAAGAGATATCCGCGGTTTTCAAGTAAATCCCGAAGTTATAAATCCCCTTTGGTCGAAGTTCTACTGAAGCGGAATGGAGGAGGAAGAAGAAAAAGAAAAGCTATGGAAATCCCACTGAAACCATTAACGAGTTGGTCATCCCTTCTCCACGACGAGAAAACAACCGGCCTCCCACTCAAGAGCCCGAAATGAATGGCACACAACCTCTTCCTTTAGAATAATTTGCGTATCTGACGTTTGACATGGTGCCGAGGACCGAGGAGTCAAATATCCAGTGTGCGTAAAAAGCGCGCCGAGTGTGAGGGCTGGAGACGGAGTGCGTAAAAGCGCATCTGGTCTCGATTGAAAACCACGAGCTCTGTCTTCATATAAGATAATGTGAACGATATGGCCACAAGTGATTAGCCAGCGCTAACGCATTTCTTATGGGCTTGTGTTATGTCTTTAGTTACCCTTATTGACGCTACAGTGTGGTAGACTACACCACAAGGTCTAAATTCTTAAAGCCTGCATGAGTTGGGGTAACAGATACGATCAATATGCCTGTTCTCATCACTCTATCAAACAAGGCTGCTTTTCTTTTGGAGACTAAACTCTGTTAGAATCCACAGTTCCAGTACTTTATCACGTAATGAGAAGATTGTGAATGAGGCCCCAAACTGGGGTTTTCTTTATCTGATTACATGTTGTATTGACATTTAGCTTCTACAAAGAGAATAAAGTCAGTTTCTCGTTTAAAGGGAATAAAAATTTAAAAGAGAACATTTTGCACACGTTTGCCATGGTAGATGCATATTTTAAGGCTGTATTCACAACAATGGCATCTGGATCTGAACAAATGTTTGACCTCGCTACATCACTACCCTTGAAAACAGAAACACCGGAAAGCAAATTATACATCCACAGAATTCAAAATATAAACATAACACAAATGAAGTAATTGTCATATCATGACCAAATTAGGGATTTGAATATTAACAGAGCCACGAGTCTTTTGACTGCACAGAAAATATGCACAGATGTACTAATTTACTTGCAGGCAAATTACAGAAAATTCCATATATGTAATGAGACTAGTAGACTGTGATGTTTGCAGATGAAAGTGGGATCTGTTGTAAGAGCAGGGAGCAGATAGGAGTCTGGAGAGGTGGAGGTATGCACTGGAGAGAAGACCAAAAAAAGTGAGTAGAAGCAAGAAGGAATATATTTTGTGTGTGTGAATGAGAGGGAGGCAGGAGAAAAGGTGAAGGTGCAAGGAGCAGATGTAGTGAAGGTGGCATTTAAATCCCATCCAAATCAACATATGGGCACAAGAGAAGAGAAAAAGCGAGTGCAAGGAGGGTGGAGTGGGTGGAGATGAGTATAAGGAGTGATTTGTGACAGAAGGTTAGCAGCAAGAGTGAAAGGGGAGGTTTATGTAAAGGTTTTTTATTGGGAATGGCCAGAATGGATGAGAAATAAGTACATCAGAGGAACAGCTCAGATCAGCTCTCAGGAGGGACAGTGGATATACTGAAAAACGGATGGAGCAGCTAGCTGGAAGAAAGGTCCGCAAAGATTCGTGCGTGTAGTAAAGGAGGACATCACTACAAACATGACAAAGGAGGATGGTGTGACAGAGGAGGATGCTAGGCTTTAGGTGAGGTGGAGGCAGATGATCCGCTGTGGTGACCGTTAAATGTCAGAAGGAGATGGAGGACTACACCGGATTTGCAGTGTATGCTTGATTTCAGTTCACTTCCTGCGTGTTAAAATTAGCTGTTTGTTTTTATACTTCCTCATCCCCTAAGAGAACTGCGTCGTTTGGCTTGAGTAACCTTTGACCTTTTACATTACCAGGTACAGTTTTTTTCTCTTTTCCTCATGAAAACTATCTTCCATTTACTTCCAGAGAAATAAACATGGCATGAAACTGTCATTTACCTCTAGCTGGTTCCAGCACTCCAGGTAATGTCTTTTACATACAGTCTGTGATCCAGACCCATAGCGGAGAATGTCCTGAGCGGCGGGCGCCCCCTGCTGGTCGCTGTGGCTCCCTACAGGCTTCAGAGGAAAGGAGACGTGTCTCATTTCAGAGCAGCTTGGACGGACTGATGGAAGCACACAGCACCGGTGGAAACGTGGGAGAGAAAGCAGACGTGGAGATGGCAGGATCTCCGTTTGAACCTTACATCGAGTCCCTGCGGCAGCAGCTGGAAGAGCAGGACCCGGTCTTCCTGATCGGAGTTATCGTCGCTTTGGCGGTGGTTGTTATCACCTGTGGTAAGAAGTCATCTTAGCAGCTTAGCAGGCTAGGCCGAGCGTGTAGCTTAGCCCCGTTAGCCGCAAACAGCGGGTCTGTGATAAACCTGATATGTGAGCAGGGCTTTTTAACATTGAAATACAATAACATGCGCTGTTTTAATAAATTAATATATGTTTTAAATACTTTAGCTTAAGTAGCAAGCTAAGAAGCTAACAACGGCTGTCGGTTTCACGGGAAGTCATTCAAACTTAGAGCTACCACACATTTTTGGCTAACGGACGGCAAGTGCTTTTGATACGTTGAGAATCAGTCACTGAATGTGTGTCCTTTGCTTTGTGTTTGCAGTCTTTCTGAAGTACTTCCTCACCAGTAAGACTGTGCGCACCTCCGTGCTCCTGGTGGGGCTGTGTGACTCGGGGAAAACCCTGCTCTTCAGCCGGGTGAGTTAAGGCTGAGACAGACCCCGGAAGCCCGGTGGGGGGCAGCTCATGTTTGTTTGTTTGCTTATTTCTTTTTGTGCTTTTCATGTGTTGGCAGCTGCTGTCTGGAAAGTTCAAGCGGACACAGACCTCCATCACTGACAGCAGTGCTCCATACAAAGCCAAAAATGACAGGGTGAGTTGAGGACCGTTGGTGGACAGAAGTAACTCGTGTGAGGGTGGGATTCACACCGCTGTTTCTCTCCACTCCGTCTGCAGGGCAGCACCTGGACTCTCATAGACCTGCCAGGCCACGACAGCCTCCGTCCTCAGTACCTGGAGAAGTTCAAGTCCGCGGCCAGGTGAGAGCAGGACGATCTGTGAGGTGATGCATGTGTGAACCGCTGACAGGTGAATGGAATAACGCTGACTGCTTCCACAGAATGAAATGTTCTGACCATAGACTGTATAGAAAGGATGGTGAAGCCATTTTTACCCTTACATGTTTTGCATCATCAAACACACTTTAATGTTAGAAATAACCTGAGTACATACACAGTGCAGTATTAACATCATGACTTAATTGATTAGGGGGGAAAAGCTATCCAAACCTACCTGCCCGTGTGAAAAAAGTAATTGTCCCCTTGTTTCCATCCTTATCACATCTGTCTTATCATCACCCTGTCCTCTTTTTCAGAGCGATTGTGTTTGTAGTGGACAGCGCGATCTTCCAGAAGGAAGTGAGAGACGTGGCCGAGTTCTTGTACGTGTTATTGACGGACGCCGTGATCACCAGAAACGCCCCGGCTCTCGTGGTGGCGTGCAACAAACAAGGTACAGCAACCCTCAGAAAGTTTTTAGAGAGCTGGGGGAAACTTTTTTTTTTCTTCATGTTTAAATAGAAGGATTCATAGTTTTCTGTCACATAAGGTAATTGCAGTTCACTGAGTGTACAGTCACATTCCGAGACAGGAATGTCCTAATATCTGAGCCTTCACTGCTTACTCTGAGTACATCCAGGTTATTCACTGGTGTCTTTATCTTGTAGACATCACCATGGCAAAATCTGCTAAACTGATTCAGCAGCAGCTGGAAAAGGAGCTGTAAGTAACGCTGTTTTGTTGTCTTCTTATACAATAAATATTTTTGGGAGCATTGCAACAATAAAACTTTATTGTCCATTGCAAAGCAGTGGAACTTTTTCTTGGCTCTCAGTGTAAATAAATAAAACCACAACAAATAATGAATGCTACATAGCAGGATTCAAAGATTGTTGCAGATATGACATTTTGTTTTTGTTTTTCACTTTGTTCTTTTTCAGTTTTTGTGTTGTAATTATGCCAATTTATTAATATTTCCACTCATAAGCCAGTGACTGATCCTGTATTTATTATGAACCTGTTACGGCAGACTGTTGGACGTGTGTGTTTAATGTGGACTGTGATGTGTTACTGCAGCCTACCCCAGGTATCATAGGGTGATACCTGGACAGGTCGCCAGGCCTAACACAGAGGGGCAAACAGCCATTCACACTCACATTCGCGTCTATGGCCAATTTAGACTCATCGGTTAACCTAACCCCACTAACTGCATGTCTTTGGACTGTGGAAGGAAGGCAGAGCACCCAGAGAGGACCAACACAGACACGGGGAGAACATGCAAACTCCACACCATAAATAGCACAGTTGCCTCACAGCTGGCTTCCTCCCACAGTCCAGAGAATAATATATGTTTACATTGTTTAATGTAGTCTTCATTGTGCATATTATTCTAAATATGACTTCTAAAACAATAGATGTATTTCAACAATCAATGTTGTTCTGCTAAATTTATCAGTACGTGGATCTTAGCCTTACACCAAATCCAAGATGGGAGTTTGGCAGTTTGGCTTAGGCTAAAATCAGGGCCACTTAGTACAACCCAGATTATTTATTTATTTATTGCCTTAAATGTTTCCCCTAGATTATTTTATGTATTATATATTTTCATAATGTAAAAAATATTGACTAGAAATCTGGGCGCCTATTGATTCAGTCAAGTTGGATTTTTAAAGAACTAGTTCTTTAGTTTCTCTAGAGACATAAATACATTTTAAACATTTTAAAGAGGAACCCCCAACAAGGCAAGGATCCCCTAACAGAAAGATATTGATGACTGTGAGGAGGAAGGACTTCCGTTTAAGAGAACTAGACTCGGGGACGAGCAGCCATCAGCTACGACTGGTTGGTAAGAGAAAAGATCAGAATGCAACAAAATGAAAACTACAGAAGAGAAAAGGCAAAAAGTTAATTAGCTAAAATAATGTGGTGTCTTAGAGGCCAGTCAAGAGACAATAGAAGTGGGAGTCATCACCTGTAAGGACAAACACACAAAGACTGTATAAGGCCACATCAGAGACATAGTACCGGTACTGGGTTTTAATGTCTGCCACTTAAATCTTGAATCTAAAATAAACCCTGCAGGTCTGCTGAGCAGTAAACGATTCTTCTTTAACGATGTCTCATTGTCTTGCAGGAATACCTTGAGAGTGACTCGCTCGGCAGCACTGAGCTCTCAGGACGGCTCCGTAGGCGGCAG